ATGTATATATATGTATATGTATATATATATGTATGGTACAGACGGTACCGTTTCGGCCTTATCGGCCTCATCAGTGTAGTGCTGATAAGCAGGATGAAAGTAACTGCTATTTACAGTTGCCTTTGATGCCTCACGAATGTGGGGCATCAAAACCATGCCAGAGCGCTCAAACTGCAGGCAGTGAGCGTGCGCAATGCGTAAGCGGCAATGGCTCGTCCTGTAGAGCGCTCAATATGACCTAAAGGCCATAGAGCGTTATCTAACTAGAGGTTGACAACATAATCTTCTGCAATCTTCGACAAGATTGGTGTCAAGGAAATTGGACGTAGATCTTTATTAACCTCTCGCGCTGGTTTTGCTTTGGGTATTGGAATAATATTTGCGAATTTCCATGACGACGGAAGTCTACCTCGGTGGTATATATATATATATATATATATATATATATATATATATATATATATATATATGTATGGTACAGACGGTATCGTTTCGGCCTTATGGGCCTCATCAGTGTAGTGCTGATGAGCAGGATGAAAGTAACTGCTATTTACAGTTACCTTTGATGCCTCACGAATGTGGGACATCAAAACCATGCCAGAGCGCTCAAACTGCAAGCAGTGAGCGTGTGCAATGCGTAATTGGCAATGGCTCATCCTGTAGAGCGCTCATATATATATATATTTAATAATTTTATAATTTTATAATTTTAAATTGGATCAATCAGTGTTGGCTATTCATGACAGTCCGCTATATTATGAGATCATTGAGGATGACCACCCACGCACAGTGACCCACGCCCGCGATCATTGATGAACTTTAGATTTCGCTAATAATTTCGTTTCCCCTGTTATAAATAGCCGGGCGGAATTGGTACTCTCGCACGGCGTTCCGCGCCGTTTCCTCGGAGACAAGCCGGGTGTAAATAGTAACAAGGCGGGTGTAGGTAGTAACAATACAGCAAGCACTTCTTAATAAAGAGACATCTGGAACATATTTAATGATGGAGAAAATGGGGATTAGAATGACCTATATTTGAATATATTTTGATACACTACCTTTTCTATCTTTACAAAACAGCTACAATATTGGACATAGCTGGTTGAGACTATTTTCCCCCCTATATATAGAAAATTCACATGTTTTGATTATAAACTCCATGTTGAATCATGTTGCCCTTCTTAAGTCCCCGCTCGCCCAACTCAATGTTGTGCTTGTGCCATGGTATACTAGAAAATACATGCATGCAGAAACCTTCGCCTTGCTGACAAAACCATTGTATTTTCCGAACATGAAGTATCTAAAGTAGTTGTCATGGTAACACGATAATTTTTTAAGAATATTCTTACAAATGAAAAATCGCTTAAAAATATCACGCTTAATTAAAAAATTATCAATTTCCCAACATATATAAGTTAGGTATGATATTATACGTAATATAAGCTTCAATTTAAGGTAAAATTCAACCACAAACGCTTCGCAAAACGTTTTAATTTATTTTTAAAGCGTTCTTTATAAAACTAAGCTGCGTTTAATTAAATGGCTTTACCGATAAACTATGTGTTTGCAATAAAATGATTTCAAGTTCTCGCATGCAAATAACTTTGCTTTCTTTTTTATTTATTTAAAAAATTCAATATAATAAAAAACGGAATTAATATGAAAGATATACTGAAATTATATGCTGTCTTGTTTAGTTGTTTTATATACGCTAAGGCCGCCGGGTTTAAACTTAAAGCAATTATAAAATCAATATTTAAAACAAACTTACCATCGGTAACGTCGGCTCCCTTCTTTTAGCCGATTCTTTCGCCCTTTGACGAATGTAGACATAAGTGCATCACTTGACGAATGTAGACATAACAACTCGGTTTTTCGAGCTGCACATATTTGATGTGCGATAACGTTTTGGACTCAAAGAAGTGCAAAGGAAATAGCCTAATACACGGCATTTCGATAAACAATAAAAGAAAGTTAATCTGGAAGGATTCGTTCGAAGAATTAAAGAAATTTGTCGAAGAATTTTTACCGACAACTGATGGCGAATGGGGTTGCCCAGGTGGAGACGTGAAGCAATACAAATCTGTAGATTTAGATCTTAGATGGCATCCGAGTACTCGTTCAATAACTCTAAATGGGAAGTTAAAGGAGAGTATCAATGAAAAACTGATTCATCTAGCACTAGTTACTGGTCAATTAAACAATAAAGACACCGAACACGCTGCTACAGGTAAGTATTGCACGAATGAACCCGAGCTTTCTGACTGTAATTGTGCTCATCTTAACGCCGATATGGAGGGTATTAAAGCCTGGTTCACACTAGTCGTAATTCATCTGCGATCTATTGTATTCTTTTCCGACAGACAAAGAATTTTACACACCAACCAAAACAGACAATGGAAATCCCCGATTCTTACGACCAGTGTGAACCAGGCTTAAACTAGATATGACAATTTTAGAATCTCGAATGCTTGCCGCAATGTCTGAAAACGAGCATGAGTCGGATATTATCTCGCTAAGAGTAAAACTAGTAGATATGGAAGCCGTTGTACATAATCAAGACGAAATTATTTCCCGACTTAGCGAAGAAAATCTATCCTTTAGGTCAAAGTTATTGAACCTTGAAAAACTAGTGCATTTCATGTCCCAAGAGTATCGGAACAAAAGCAGTGGAGCGATTAATCTATCTAATATTCAAAAGAACCCTCAACGCGTAACCGCAAGCAATCTATTAATTTGAATAAAAACAGTTTGAGTTCACCTCGAAATATCGATAACAATCTACCTCACGATAACCAACAATATGTTAGTCCGTCCGTAAGTAATATTGATTTTACGACAGACGTGCCCCAGCCTAATTCTCAAACTAAACAGAAAGTAGATCTTACGGCAGACGATCGTATGGCAGACGAGTCCAGCCTAATCCCCTAATTAAACAGAAAGCAGATCTTACGGCAGACGAGCCTCTGCCAAACCCTTTAATCGCCCAGAATAAAGAAATTAACTTGCCCAAGAACAGGAATTCAAACTCGAAAACAAAATTTAACCGCGTCAGTAACGAAGATAAAAATAACAAGCATGTCAACTCTCCCAAAAGCTCTATCCCTTGCCCCTTTCTATCCCGCCGAGGATGGTGCGCTAAAGGGAACCGTTGTGATTTTCAGCATAAAGAGCTTGGTCGTGACAAACACAAAATATCCTCTCCTTTTCTACGAAGGAATGGTTTTTGTTTGAAAGGGGACCGATGTGATTATTCTCATATCGGTTTTTCTCATGGTATGGTGGCTCCCAGACCCAGGATGAACGCCACTGCTTATCCAAGTTCTTCCCAACATACCCCTATCTATCAATGTGCTCCCCCTTTTCAACCAGATACGAGACACAACACAAGGTCACCTTTTTTGTCCCATTCCCCCTGGCCTATGATTCCTCCTTTCCCCACCCCCCTCCCACTGATGAATGCTCTTACTTGGCCCCCGCTGACATAGTGAACATCCACGATCATAAACTCATGACATCTCCCCCTTATCAGGAAAACCTACAAAACATAACGGTTAGAATCACAAACAGAAGTTTTAACAAATCTTATAAAATACCCTCAAGAACACACGGTAATTTAATTACTGTCTCATTTAAAACCCAAAATGAGAACAAAAAGACGTTCGTGCCCAAAATATTACTCACAAACACCATGTCACTCACCCCTAAATTTGGCGAAGTCTCTTGATTTATGAAAATTCACAATCCAGACGCTGCTTGTATCACCGAAACTTGGCTCCATGGATCAATTGACGAATCGTGTCTTTATATAGATGGATATAATTTCATCTTCAAAAACCGTTCAGTGGGCTGTCATGGAGGTGTGGGTTTATATATTAAGAACTCAATATCCTTTGAATGTTTAGACCATCTACAGCATCCCTTGTTAGAGGTTCTCTGGGTACGTCTTACTCCCAAAAGATTACCCCGTGGATTTACCTGTCTTGTAATTGGCGTAATATACCACCCACCACGCGCCGATGATCATGAAATGCTCAGTTACCTTTCAATATCACTTACCACCATTGAAAGCGATTATCCAGGCTGTGGTCTAATGTTATCAGGAGACTTCAACCAATTAAAAGTTAACCGTCTACTGAACCAGTTTCAATGCAAACAAATGGTCAATGTTTCTACCAGAGCTGACAAGACTCTTGATCTAATTATTACCAACTTATACTCGTTTTACGCTAAAGACTCTGTAGAGAAACATCCTCCCTTTGGCCTCTCAGATCACAATGTGGTCATTCTAAACCCTAAAAACAGATGCGATAAATCAGGTAGTCGAAAGGTCGTCATAAGTAGAGACATGCGTCCCAGTAAAAAGAGCGAACTCGGAAGATACCTAACCTCCTGTAATTGGTCCATCCTAAATCATCTCGAAACCTGTGAAGAAAAACTTGAGCTTTTCACTGATCTTATTAACCTGGGTATCAATATCCTAATGCCCAAAAGAAGAATAACACTACATGTGAATGATCCCCCTTGGATCACAGCTAATTTTAAGATTCTTATAAAAAAACGCCAAGCAGCATTTTCTAACGGCAATAACGAACTGTTTAGGTATTACCGCAACCGAGTTAATCGCGAAAGAAAAAAATGCCGTGAAAAGTTTTATTCGTTGAAGGTTGAACATCTAAAAAAGTCAAAACCAAGTCGTTGGTGGAAAGAAGTAAAACAGATTGCTGGTATGACCCCCTCAACGGGAGCGGAAGATCTATATAACCAAATTCACATTGACGATTTTGACCGGAAGTCTCCAAATGAGATTGCAAATCTCATAAACACAGCCTTCCTAGACCCCATGAAAACTTACCAACCTCTTACTTCTCTTCCCTCCTACGATCCAAATGACTCTGTCCTCCATCTCGACGAATTTGATGTGTATAAAGAGCTTGCGTCCCTTAACCCCAGAAAAGCCTCAGGCCCAGACCGTGTTCCGAATTGGGTGTTAAACGAATATGCAGAAGTTCTCGCCCAGCCTGTCAGTTCGATTCTCAATAGCAGTTTTAATGAACAACGACTCCCTGCCTCGTGGAAAGCAGCTGATGTTGTTCCAATCATAAAAACGAAACCGGTAACCGAAATTTGTAAACATTTAAGACCAATATCCCTCACCCCAGCCCTTTCTAAAGTAGCAGAAGAATTCGTTGTTTCTAAATACATGGGGCCAGCTATTCTGTGTCAAATCTACCCCAACCAATTTGGAGTGATACCAAAATCCTCTACATCTATGGCAGCGATATCAATGATCCACAATTGGTCCAAATCAACTGATGGCACTGGCGCAGCAGTCAGAGTAGCCCTGTTCGACTATAAAAAAGCGTTTGACCTTATTGATCATTGTATACTCGCTGATAAGATCTCCAGATTACCAATTCCGAAGGCAGTCGTACGCTGGACTATTGATTTTCTATTGGACAGAAAACAAAGAGTTAAACTCGCAACCGACTGCGTTTCAGAGGGGGGTGCTGTCCCGGCTGGT